AATATTCTATTCACTTCTGGCACTTCTACAAATATGGTAGGATTTTCCCCTCATCCCCTTTCTTACTGCTGTGAAATTTCCATTCAACAATTAGACTTGTGGGTTTTTTTTAAGTCAAATTCAGTGAAGTGCTTATGTGTGTATTTAACTCAGGGCATGGGAATAGTTTTGTATGCATAGACCTCAGCCCGGACCTAATTTCTTTGCTGAATTTAGTATGACTATTTAAGCTGTAATGACGCTAGTGCCTTGAGAGTTTTGTGTGAGGGATTGCAAAATGCCTTTGTTTATACAGCTAAGTGTAACCTTACAACATACCTGACTACACTGTAACTCTTTTGCATTGTTTAGTCCCATCTATATTTTGGAAATACAGAATATCCAGAATATCAATATTCAGGAACATTTAAATAGCTACAGAAATATTTAAACATTTGACAGCATTGCTAGGTTGCAGTTGGCCATTCTCTCCCTCCTATAATAGCATGGACAGTCTAAATTTAAAATTCAGATTTCCACCAGTGTTCCTACATTTGAAATTTTTGTGTCTAAGCTTCACATACTCAAGAGATATAGAAATCAACACCAACAGAATGAACAGTTCAACAGCAGTGTATCAAAAGACATGCCTGTGTTGTAATTTATAAGCAATGTAGTAGTCCTCAAGGCATCTTTAGTGGACTGCAAGTATTCTCTAGGCTAGAAACCATAAAGAGGTTGTGCTGTGTGCAGCCAAGTCAACAGAAAACCAGCTCCAGAGTTTTCAGAGGAATCCAAAACTGCACTCCAACACTTCAGGTTTTTTTTCTTTTTTTCTTTTTTTTTTTTTTTTAATTAATTAGGGAATATCTCTTATTTAGTGATAAATCTAGGAGCCCAATAGTTTGTGAAAGTCCCTGCACTGAAAGCTGCTGAAAACTGAAGCAACATGCAAATATGTGTAGAAAGAGAATCTCTTAATGAAATTGGACTGATTACCTACAGGATGGCAGAACTTTATGGGACTTGGAAGGCATATGCTTTCTTATATGATACAAAATGGAGCAGAAATCTGATTATTAAGTGCTTCTGACTTATTTTGATTTAAAATTCAGACAGAACAGAAATGGGATGCAGCAGTTACACTATCCCAGTTCAATTAGCACGGAAAGGCGAAGAGCCAAGGTTTTCCTCACCAAGGTCTTCAGGGGCAATTCTCAGGTTTCCTTTTTCCAGCATAGCCAGATGTACTCTCCGCACAGGGCCCAGAGTTGTAATTTTTAGCTCATAGTTGAATACCGGTCTGTGTCTCTACTTCTTCTCCAAACATACTTTATCTTTCCTTTGTGCAATGCTCTGCATGCATTTGCAGAATCTCTACAGGTTCGTGTGTCTCCACACACTAGGAGAACTGAGTAGAGCTATATGAATAATGGATATTTTGGTTCAGTGGCTGAACCAAATGATAAGGGAAAAATGTGATTTGAGTAGACTAGAAATTAAAGCATTTTTGCTTAATGTTCAGATGATTTAACCCATTTTTGTACCTTTCTCCTTCAAATGAAAAAATGCACTTACTTTCAGAAAGAAAAAAACATTTGAAAGCAAATGGCAGGAGCATATAAAAAATGCCAAAGTGAAGTATGTACATTTCTTACCTCCCCCTCTCCTAGTCTTTTTGGTCAACTTGAATCCCACCCAAAACCAGACTTCCAGTTTCTAGATTTTAGTGCATCAAAAAATGAGTGATTATCACCATGAATAAGCAGTGTCTCTGCTCACACAGACGTAGGTGATCCAAGCAGCTACTGGGAGTGCTTTAGATGTTAATCCTTATGTGTCAAACTGCCACCAGCACCCAGTTCGGGCATTTTAAGAAACCTGGTACTTAAGGGAATTTCTGCCAGGAGGTGTAGAATAAGGCTGCTTTGGACCCCTTCAAAGAGCTGATCTCCTTGATAGAAACTCGAGCTACAGTTATCCTCACTGGGTATCACAGCTGCCAAGACAAACTATTCTATTACCACTGGCAAACAATTAACATTATTGAAAAATTCACGAAGGAAGAAACTCTATTCCTCATCAGGACAGCATCAGGTATGTTCTAATTTTAAAACAGCCTGATCTTCCTTTCCAGCACAGCAGTTTGCATATCTCCCAGGCATTTCCTGTTTAACTTGAAGTCCTTTGGGGAGCACTTTGATAATCTCTTCACAGGATTTTATCTCACCTTGAGATGGAGGGCCATTATGACTTTTACTAAGTCTTTTTCTTTTTTTATGCAGACTTCCACTGAAATCAAGGGATTCTGACTGACTTTGAATGAAATGAGTGTTTCAGAATCAGAGGAATAGAAGGGATAAAATTTCATCTTTTAAAATCCACTTATCCTCATGTGTGTAACTTCTACAGTGCTTGGCATATTGGGTAGGATCTGGCACATCAATGTGGGATCTAATGATTTAATTAGGCATCTGAATGTAGCTGGAAAAGATCCATAACATGGGCCCACAGAGACATTGCTTTGCACTGACCATATGGGGAATTTAAGCCTTTACTCTGAGAGGACTAGTTCATTAGACACCTAGTATGTAGGTACATGCAATTTGGATGCCTAACTCAGATGAAGCTGATTTCACCATCAGTGATTTGATTGAACTCTGCTTGACATAGTTTTCCTACTAAACCTTTCTCCTCTTTTACAAATTTCTATTTTGATTACTGTAAAACTGTAGAAGTTGGATTCATAGTCAGAATGGTCATTAAATCCTCTTCATATACTGTTTTTAAATAAACACACAGCCAGCCTTTCAGAGTGGTTTGAAGCATAATTTATGTACATATTTTGCATGGTTAATTGCTGAGAGTCGTGATGGCCACATGTCGCATTTACTTCTGGGAAAGTCCAAGGAGACACATGGATGTCTTGCTATAGTCTGGTTATAATTATTAACTTAGACGGCAGACTTTTAGTTCAGTCTTTTATGTTTCTCATTTTGTCTATTGATCATTCCAAACTTCACTTCCCCATATATTTTGGGCAGCGCTCTAGCTAGTGCATGAATTGACATTGACAAAAAGGCTGTTAGTTGCAATAAACAAAGCATATTGACTGTGTAGTGGGAATGGATTTATTGATTTTGACCAGGTCAGAAGGTGAATTCTAACAGTGAATTCTAACAGCACTATTCTTCCATTAAAAGTTAAGATTTTTTTTTTCCTACCTGTAATTTCCAGCAGCATCCCAGCTACTTTGGGATATGCATGTATAATCAGGCATGTTAAAACCCCAAGTGAACAACTTGTGAACAACAGTCTTCTGCCAACTTCAAAGTGTAAAGGTCAACTGTTATGACTATTGTGTCCTATAATGGAGGGCCTTTCTCTTAAAGGGTATGATTTTGAGGCAGTAAGTGATTGGAACTACAGCAACTGAAACATTTCTACTTTTCAAAATTTTTCTAAGCCTTTAACTGTTTCTTCATTTTTATTTACAAAAAAATATAGGCCAGACATACTGGAAGCAACAGCTGGCTAAGATGCAAAGGGTAATTGAAACAGCTTTAAAAAAAGTTTAGAGACTCCGCAGAGCAATCTCCCTGGGGGAGAAAATGAACCATGATGTTGTTTATGGGAAACTGCAAGGATGAGATTAAGACCACCCACAAAACAAGCATTTTTCAACAACCTCGCTGCAAATGATGTGATGTATGACATGGGAAGGGTTTCTCATCTGAAATAGGACAGTAAGTCAGCCATGTACTGATGGCAACACAAGGGCTAACAATGCAAAAAATACATTTCAAATACATAACATGAGACCAGATTTTAATTTTACAATTGCTACCTATAAATAGATAGGACACAATGTGGTTTTCATTAACAATTGTCCAAGGTAGTTTTAATAAAGTCAATAGTCTTTTTTGTAGATACTTTTTGGAAAAGATATTTTTTGTATCTCCTAATCCTACAAGTAAGATAGAGTAATTCAGGTCTCAGAACTGTGTGGTGAATTGTCATATTTTCATGGATATAACCATCACAGAAAAATCTTAGGGTTCAATAACAGTTCCAAATGCAAGCAACAGGAGAAGAATTGTACCTAGCATATTGCAGTCTCCGTCTCTTTCCTTCCTTCCCCCCAACAACCTCCTCCTTTCTGCTTCCCACAACTCTGCTTTTGTGCCAGTTATCTGATAATGAGGGCCTTAATGAAGACTGTCTGAAAATGCAAGATTTCCAAGGGCTGGCCATTACAGTGGTTTGTAGTATAATTGATCATTTACTATCATGCACTTAACGCTTTTAAACAGGGTTGGATTATATATATTTGTGTGATTAGATAGCTGATGAAATTTGTTTTAGTCCCAAAGGTTAGAGTAGGAGGTGACTGAACTAGAGAGGAAGATGATGTGGTTGCTGGTATTGAAACCTCTGGAGTAGATGCAATGTATTCCCCTTGCCTTTATGTCTTGGCATGCAACCCTGTATTACCTGTGTTTGTTACTGTGATTTCCTATTGCACTCCAAGGTAAAAACTCTGTAAAAATGATACCAGGTGCCTCAGCGTAGAAACAAACTGATCTAGGGCAAAAACAAGGGCTGCTCTCCTTCCCTGCAGGAATCACCTGGTTGAATGAAACCATTGAAACTGTGCAGGTGAGCAGCATGACCGAGGTTTGGTGAGCGCCAGTTCCAACAATCCGTTGTCAGAAGTCAACATTTTTAGCACAATAGTTGGCTGCTTTACAGGTTATTTATGTTCTGCCTGTCAAGAACTTCAAAAAATGAAATATAAAGTTGTTGATGATACTGCAGGATAACTCAGTGCCCAGAGTCATATCAGTAGCTGCCCTGAGCACATTTTGTTATGTGTTCTGGTTGCAGCAAAATTGCTGGTTCCTGGGGAATAAGACCAAGAATAATTCTAGAAGTGGAAAGCAAACTGAAAGTGCACCTGTTTTGGTCTAGTATTGCTTTCTATCTTTCTAATTTTTTCCCCCTTTTGTTTTTCTCAGGAGAGGTGATGGTCACAAGAACAAATAGCTGCCAATCAGACAGCAGTGGATTTATGGAGGAGCTGCCAGAACCTTCGGTTTTGCAAGTAAGAGCAGAACAAAGGTCTTCAGTAGGTTTGTGAAAACTCTGTAACTCTGGAAAAAATAACATTAAAAAAAAAAAGGATCATGGATGCATTAAAGCTTCACAAAAGCCACTGCAGTCATGCAGGATTTTGCAAGGTTGCAAGCTACACGTTAAAAATATTATCATTAAAATAATTTTAAAAATGATTATTTGCTTCCTTTGATATTAATACTTACAGCATGATATATATGATATTTACTAGCATGATAGAAGAAGCCTAGTATTTGTGTGCCTACCTCTTCCTTTTCTTCCAGAATGCATCTTTGTCAGCAAAGATAAATCTTAGCTCTGATACCCACAACCACAAAATGACTCTGTCATATAGCACAGCGCTCCCTATGTCAAATCAAGATTTTCAAGAAAAAACAGAAGATTGTATTGCGAAAGCCTTCATAACAGATTGCAGGAAGTTTTTGACAGTATCTAGACCAATGAGAACATGCAGTGACCAGGGAGAAGAAACCTGTCCTCTACTAACTGCAGAAGACTGCCAGCATCAGACCTGTGGCACTGGGCCCCTGAATTTTGTCCAAAAAATGTTATGTGATGTGGTCAATAGAGAAGAGAAAAATGGAACTGAGCAACCAAAAAAAGAGGAGTACATAAGACCGCATACACCTTGTTTTCCACCTGATAACCAGGATGAAGGAGATGCTGTCTCCTCAAAATTTGATTATCAGTTATATTGCAGTCCAGGACATAAAAATATGAATGTGGCCTTCACTGAACAAAGTGACACTAACCCTGAGACTGCTAGTGAAAGCAAGGTCAAAACTGAAGAAGAAAGTGAGAGGTATTTGACAGATAAGGATTTTGGAGCTACACGTCATGAAAATGTCCAGGGACATCCTACAGAACTTGTGGAAGGAGAGTGGTGGAGAATGGAAGTGGTCGGTGAGAATGGTCCCCTTCTCTCAGGGAGTGAAGTGACAAATGGGCAGAGGTTCTGTACAAGAGATGGCGATTCAAGAAATATGAGCTCCTCTTTTGAAAGAGGGCTCCCTGAAACTCTGTGGCAGGGCCCATCCGTGCCCAGAGAAAGCAGTGCTGTTTCAAGCAGTTCTCCTCAAAGACCTCAGATCCCCCTCTCCTGTCCAACAGAAGGGCCTCGGTTAAGTTCTTCTGAAGATAAGCAGACATGCAGCATAGGGGAGGTACCATGTATTAACAAATCAGCAAAGCAAAACAGTGTCCAAAGCACTGAAACAAATGCTGGTCCTCTGAAATCTGTTACTGTGCAAATGTCTTCAAGGCTGGATTTTACTTCAAAGATGAAGTATACTGGGCAAAATGCTCCTTGCTGTGAGAGCGCTGCTAGGGACCACGCTGTGGACTTCTCTGAGGTGTCAGCACACCGCTGTGAGGGTGGCCTGAAGCAAACCACTGAGGCCTCCAGTCAAACCAACATCCCTGCCAGGAAAACTAGGCAGGTCCACCTACCTCCTCCACCCTGTCACCACCTCGTGAAATCAGTTTCTCTTGACACCGTGTTTTGTGGCAAATATGGACGGTGCTACAAGGGTGAAGCATCTGGAGCTCAGGGCACCCAGGGTTATCACTGCCGTGGCTGCTGCCACCACTGCTGCTGCTGCTGCTTCTGCCTGAGGAACCTCCCACCAGCCATTTCCCCCCAGTGCCCTGTGGGCTGCTGTTCAAACCACGCTGCCACGGAGCTGCAGCTTTGGAAAACACTGGTGTTCCTACAGGAAACTGCAGCGAGAAGCTCCTCACCAGTAAGTATATTTCTTCATGTAGGAGTGAGAGGAAGGCTGGCACACATTTGGGCTAAATGCCTTTCCCTCTCCACTCCTGTTGTGTGTGTTGCTTTAGTGCGATATATCTTGGTGAAAGAATTGGGAAATTGGCATTCCCTTCTGGACAGAGATGGCAAACACATCTTTATTCATTCAGGTTTGTTAGGATCCTTATTTTAATGACATATGTACATCAGGTCAGCTCAGTCTTAAAGTGGTTAATATCAATTGAGTAATAAGTCTTGCTGGTCAAATGAAGAGCTAAGAGTCAATTCACAGCATGAGATTCAATAGGTTACTGTAAATCAGCTGAGTTACATTAACCAAATAACTTCTAGGACTGCAGGAAATGTAAGGCTATACAACTTACTGAAATACTCTTTTACTCTGAAGTTGAATTATTTTATGTTTGTCAAAGACCAACTGTGCACATCCAAATACATACCACAACCCATACTGCTCTAAATTCAGTGAATTGTGTCTTCTTAGAATCTAAAGTGAATTTATCATAACAGAATAAGAAACTTTTATTAAAGTCATGCATAGATGTATATTTGCAATAAAAGCACGGGTAGCAAAATGTCACCAGGTTTTTGAAGTTCTGAAAGAATAGATTTTGTGAGGAAGAGAATGAGAAAGGAGTCAGGAATGGCTTTTGTGTCCTGAGAAATAAATTTGGATTTGAGCTGCATCTATCCTGCTGATTTACAGAAGTTTCCAATTTTATTCCTCCCTTTGTTGTTTCATAGTAGGATGAAATTAAAAATATTTACATACAGAGAAAGAACTACATGCAGGTTCCAGAAAGTGAGGGTGGTTTGCTGCTACATTATTGAATACAGAAATCTGCAGTGCCTTTTATTTGAATGGTACATGGCGAGACAGGTATTTTTCTGGATCTTTTACTGTTGCCACAAGATGGCAGTGAGTCAGTACCTTATGGCAGACTTAGAAGCCTTTTCTCATTGATTGACTATTACTTTATCACTCCTCTGACAGGGGCTAATGGTGATTTTTCTTCTCTAGTCTGTGGACCGGGAGTGTGGGAGGAACAGACTGTAATGCACTGTAATGTTATCCAAGATCTGTTCCATAAGATATGTCTGCACATCCAAACTACTATGCAGCAGAGGAGGTTGTGAATTTACTGATTATTAGTCATTCTTCAGAGATTGCTTCCATGCCTACTTAGCATTTTGCTTATACAAACTTCTGCTGAGAGCAGCTCTCAGATTACTTCCCATATGCCAAGACCATGCAAGAGGATGCTACCATTGTGGAGCAACTGTTGAAGAGTAAACCTACCTTATTTTTATTTATCTTATCTTAGGTGAGGTCTTGCCTGAAAGTAGTCCTGGAATATTTAGCCCCTGCTGAACCTAAACTTTGAGTCCTCTTTCTGTTCAGGTTTGGCAGCCGTGAGAAGAAATCATAAATCCTGTGTGGATGTGCTGCTTACTAGCAACCCAAGCACTCTCACTTAGGAGTAACCACTTTCAGAGTATCAAAATGAAAGACTGTGGAGTGTGTGTATGTTGGGGTGAGAGGGAGGAGGGTGAAAATAAGCAATCAGCCACCACTTTGTTTGGTGGTCATATGAAGACATAACCAATCTGACTACCTCAAAGGGATCTGCAATTGCTGACCTGACCTGCAGTGTTAAAAAAAAATTAGCTGTGATCGATGTAGAGTGGAGACTGACTGCAGCCTCTGCAGTAACAGGACTGGCCCTGTGACCCTGTGATGAAGCATATTACTAGCAGGACCCAGTTAAAACATACTAAAAAACATGCTGTCTCCTCTGTCTGGAAATTATCCCATCAAAACAATTATCAGGCCCTGATTGGTCAGTTCTGGTGCTATGCCATGGCAGTCAGAGCTAGATTTTTCATTTACTGTTAAGAGACTGTTAATCTCTGGGTCAGCAGGGTGCTTGACATAGCTGCATTGAAATGGGGATTGAAAATGGGGTTTCTCAAATGCACTGAGGACATATTTTGCCCTCTTGTTGAAACTAGTCTTAATATCTTTATCCCGATAGGGATTCCTTGTGTTTCAGGCTTTGGTGGAAATGAGAGGCAAATTCTGCACACAAGCATGGTGAAACCATCAGAGCATGTAATTTCATGGTTTTAAAGAGACTGGGCATTTTCATGCTTTGCACATGTAGTTTTTATTCACTATCAATTACAGTGGTCAGCAGTGGAGTGCAGGTTTCCACATTGCCTTCCTGTGGGTTATGAAACCAAAGTCTTACAACATAAGAACATCCCAAACATCTACCTGCGCTATAGATGTTTACTTTTGGTTGACAAAAATTGCTTTCTTGCAGTACTTGGAGGTACATCTGCAGTGGTAAGTATGAGCACTGGGTTAGATGAATCCAAATCCAGCTTTCCAAATGGTATCAGCTGAGAATGGATCAGTGTAATATTTAGCAGAACCCACCATGGAAAGTACTTTTTCTCTTACAGTACTTGCATATCATCTTCTTTTCCAACAGGGTTTCTTACTTCCATTGGAGGGTTATTTAACCTATCATTAATCAAGAGTAACTTCAAATTATATCAGAATATGGTCCGTTATATTAGGTCTTTGATCAAAGCACTTTTCCGCTTCAGTGTCAAAATGAAAATCTCCCTGACTTCAGTAGGGCCAGAACTTCATCCAGAATGATTAAAAAAAAAAAAAAAAAAAAAAAAAGACTGCAATATAATGCGCCTAGAATAAACTCTTAGGACATGCCATCTGGACTTCATGGCAGCTGCTCACAGAGTCCCAGCTGCCCAGTTAATAGAAGAACCCCCTGCCATTTGGACCATCAGCTTCAAACATATCCGAACATTGAAGTGCTCAAAGAGTAGTAGTAAAGTGGTTTCTCATTTCTATGTAGTGTACCATCCATGAAATAGAAATGATGAAGAGCTCCTGTCAGCAGTTCCGGGAGAAGCTGAATGAGATTGAACAGTACCTGACTGAACAGCAGGTTCTGCTTTCCGGTGCACTGTCAGATGAAGAAAGGTAATGAAAGCATGACACACTTACCTAAATCCAAAGTTAGTAACAGCAGTATGAGCATGTGCAATGTATCTAGTCACTTGTATTACCACAATGTTCCTGGTCAGTAAGATACCACTGTGGGTACCTTGCAGGTGGAAGAGAAATTTATTTTGGTGTGCTTTGTTTTTTGCCCTAAAGTAAGTATAGTTTCTTTCTATGCTTTTCATTTTGAAGGGTAAGATTGTTCTGCAGATGTAGGCTAGATTTTCAGTATGGAATAGTTGTGTTTTGATAGCAGAAGGAATGCAGAAACAGGTCTCATATGGCGGGAGCTTGGTATCACAGATGAATACAAGATTGGCGAGGAAGACAGGCTGATCTTTGATCAGAATCTGTGCCAAATCGGTCACTTTAAACCATGTTCTTAGTGCTCATTATTAATGAGGCAATGATGCATGATAATTTGAACTAGCTCTTCATGGACTCTGCCCAAGTCCACAGTGATTATTAAGAAACCTCATATATATGAAAGTTACTAAAGAGCTTCCAGTCTCTAATTGGTTTTAAAGTAGGACATTTATGCAGTCTTTGTGCATAAAAAGTAATAAATTAGAACTAATAAATCCATCCTGACTCAACTTCATTCAGCAACTACAACATGCTAAATCTTGCAGTCAAGGGACTGGGAGTTGAATGGGCATGGGGCATTATTCATTATTTTGCAAGGTATTTTGTGATCACAGGAAAAAACAAGACACCAGCAGTGAGAGAGATATGAGTGTTAAGCTGAGGCTGAGGATGATGTCTGCTGCTCATGTAAGTGTGTGTTTTGCTGCTGTCTCTGCAGAGAGGAAAGAAGGCACCTGCAACTTTTAAGGCAAGCTGTTCGTCAGGAGGTTGCAGAGCTGGAATTTCGGCTGAATGATCGAGCTTGCCAGCTCAGGGAAGGCATTCTCATGGTACGTTGCTGAAGTCAATACTCTGGGGTCATGAGAGTAGAGTTTGAAGTCTGTCCTACTATTCAGTACTTGAAGTTTTAAGACTGAAATATATATGAATAAACCTTTTGGTTTCAAAAAGAAGAGGTTTCTTGTCATCAGATTTATAATTTACGTCTTTGACCTTCTTTCTCCTTGACTATATTGCTTGGACTTACTCCTTACTCCAAGGAAAAGTAATGGTGCTTATAAAATTGACTGTATTCTTGTCTGCTCTAAAAAAGGTCGCTTCGTTTCCACAATAAAATGTCAGGCAGCTAGCCTGCATTAATACCTGATAAGTGGTTACTGGTGTTGGCCCTTTTCTGCACAGCTTTCCACTTGTGAGGGAGAGCTAAGGAACTGATCATCAGGAGACTAGTTATGTGTGTTTGATTTTTCCTGAGAAGCTTGGGTTAGAGCTGCAGAGCACAAGTGTTCTCAAGGATCCTAGCTGTACTGCTGTTGTTCCTCAATGGGAATCTCCTCGAGAAAGAATCCATTTCACATCACAGTAGCTGAATAATTCAAAGTGCTGGTCATACACTAGTGAATAAGGATGAAAACTGCAGCAACTGTTGAAAGAAGTCCGTTTGCAGATTCCCTGTAGGCAGTTACTATCTGTTGGAATAAAGTGTTCTTTGAACTTTTCTCCTCTTTTTTATGGCAACGTCTCATTTGACAAATATTGTGTCTTCTTTGGACCACGAATGAGAAGCAGGCATGTTTCATATACTCTTGTGTATTCTGCTTGATTCTTTTTATTATATTTTTATTACTGCAATATGCTTTTCCTTCTATTTTCTCTGCAGCAGCTGGACCAATTACTAGTAGAACAATCCCATCTGTTTTCAGAGCTTGGACTCTCTGACTGGAAGGAAGAAAGAAATGCCCAGAATAAACAAGCGCTTCCAGATGCTGTTGATACTGTGCATCCTAGAAGTGGGTTCTCAGAAATGGTACTCCAAAGAGTTCCTAGCAGAAGCACAACAGCAGGCTCCCTCCCCACTTTGCAGCCAGGAACACCTATAATGCAATTTCCTACCAGGACAACACTTGAGCCAAATTCTGCTGAGTCTGACCCACAGGAGCTCTCCACCACTAAAAAGGAAATAAATGGACCGCTGAAGCCAAAAATGGACTTTAAAGCCTTTGTGCACAATGTAAGAACCAGTTTTATTCTCACTCCCAAAATTTTAAGTGGAAGATATCACTGACTGCAGTGCAATTATACTACTCTGTATGTCACTGCTACAACCAATATCAGGAGCTTTGCCTGCTATGCAGTATGTTCATCCTAAGGGACAGAGCCGGGGTACCAGTGAGCTTTCAGTCTGCATATATAAAGCAGGAGGAGGCTGGGGCTGGACCTGCTTTGATATATCTCATTAAGTTGGTGGCAATGGCTCAGAGTCTCCAGAGAGAAAGGCATATAAATACATGGATGGTATCTGCATGGCTTGCTTGAACTTTGAACACAACCGTTTGGATAATTGATGTATTCACCCCTCTTTCCTAGTAGAAATTAGTAATTTATGTTTCCAATTTGCAAAAACAATTAGCTGGTTCTACAAGGGTAGTAAAAGCAGTGAAATGGAAGGTTTGTTGTTTTTTCTGAGAAAGTTTTAAGTTATCATTTTGGACTGATCTGATCCAACAATGTGGTCATAAAAAAAAAAAAAAAAAAAAAAAAAAAAAGCTGCCTCTCTGTATATAAAATCTGTCAGAAAGACAGATTATTAGTCTATTCCATCTAAGTATGGCCCATCCTTTAAATGATTGGCCCATCCTTTAAATGATTGGACATTCTGTTAAGTTAGGTCAAATTCTGCATGAACTTCATGAAAACACCTCTGGAGGGATTGCTCTTTATTGTGCCACTTTCCTGATTTATGTTGGTATTATCATTGATGCTACCAAGCAGAATCATGTTCACATTCCAAAGAATGAGAACAATTGCTAGTTAGGAAGAAGGAATTAAAGTTTTTCAGTTCTTGTTTTGTGATCTTCTGCATTCATTTTTTTTCCCCCAAAACTAATCTTGGTCATTCTCTCTACAGTCATAAAAATAATACTTTTTCTTTTTTTCCTTTTTCTTTTCCAGTTGAAGAAATCATTCCGAAATTCTTTAGGTAATGGCTCAGCGGAAGGAAAAGACTGATGGTAGAGAGACTGATGGATTTTGTTTTTAAGAGATATAGCTTTTTCCTGCAATGTGTGAAGAAATGAAAAAAACATTGCATCATAGAATGTTCTGGTCACAGTAATACAATTTGCAATGAGATGACTGTCCAGAAAGTGGGCATTTTTGAAAGATGTTCTAAAGAGAAGAGCTATATATTTTGCTAGTGAGAGATTACAGAACTATTATGCTCCTCTTAAGCCATCATACTGGTCCTTCACAATGTCAAAGAAAAGGGGAGAGGGCATATTTTTACGAAGAAATTTATGAACTTGCACTAAGCCTGGGAAATATCTCTAGAAGATATTATCCTTATAGACACTTATTTTAGCACAGATCTTCAAACAACAGTAATTGTCAACCCAAACTGGCTTGTGCAGTTCAGGAATCTTTAGTTTTTATCTGACTACTTAATGCTGATCTGCCTCTGATTAATTTTATAATGACTGTATCTGCTGTATCAAATCTGAAATTGTCTGACAGTTATGAAATGTCAAACACATTATGTTTAATTAAACACTAAACTATTACTGTAGTTGGTCTCCTTATTGGCCTCTTCATTTTCATGTTTACTTCATGTAAATCTAATGAAAAAAATCACAAAACAAAACAAAAAAACAGAGAGACTAGAATTGAAAGATTTTTTACATTAAAAACTTTGAACATGAATCCCGTCTCACTTTCCTGGGAAGTTCACAGACTCTGGATTCATGCAGCAAGAGAGTCAAGAAAATAGCTCTCTGATTTGGGTTACAGCAAAAAAATGAGACTAGTTAATTTTCCAAGCAGTGCTCTTTGTACTACTGCTTTTAGCATTGCCTAGATTGTGAGATGTCCTACTGGCTTGTTTGCCTGATGATCTGGAGGGAACTTAGGTGTCATTTCGGCTTTGTTGCTGCAAGTCACAGCTGTGCGAAGGTGCAAATAGAAGCAGCATTTGCACATGCGAGGAGAAAATGGAGTCAAACACGCAGAGCAGCCCTGAGGCTCCCTGCGCCTCCATGTTTCCACAGATGTTCAGGATAATAAAATGAGTGGGAAGAGAAGGGAAAAACAGGAACCTGATAAGAACCTCAACACCCTGTTGGGCCATGAATTTTACTAGGTGAAGTTTGCCCCTTCCTTGAGAGCCCTCGTGGGATTTGTACACCACTTCAACACTACTGAGTGTTTGAGAGTTTATACTTCAAGATTTGTAGTTGACTCCTTTGAAGCTACTGGGATTAATTCTGACAATGTCTCTAGGCAGAACAGAAACAGGACTTAAACATCCCTTTGTAACTTTTTGGTGGAACCAACAATAAATTTGCCTTGGTATTTTCTCTTTCTTCACTGGCTTATAAGCAAATAAAAGCATCACTACAGAGCAAATAAAGGTGCACTTGCAGATGTCATACCTCAGTTTATAGAGGAAGGCAGATAAAGACAATGATGAAGGATGTAGAGTATTGCAAGACCTGCATGAAAGGAATATTAAGATGGTTCCCTATCTCACCTGCACTAAGGCTGTCATTTGTCCCATTAAAATATAAATACATGTTTTAACTGTCACTGCAACAAGCTACAAGTCTGTATACAAGCTCTCTATGTATATGGTGATAAAAACCACTGTGTGCCTATATATACACATGTATATAGATGACTGTAGTGGCAGATGGCAGTTAGTGATTAGAAAGACCATGTGAGTCCTGTGGCAGCATTTGAATTCTAGCACATACATTCTCAACCACAATTGAATTTCACTCTTACTAATAAAACTTTCCCATTTGAATAGTCTTTAGATAATTGGTTTACACAGTCCAGTTCCTCGTTTCACTTTAATTATAAAATAATCTCATGCAAATTGTGCAGGGCTTCCCCATATGTGACACTCAGACTTCCATAAAAATATTATTATTTTGAACTTGTTTGCATTTATGGTTAGATAACCTTTGAAGCAGTGCATAATCTTGTATCAATAAGAACGTACTAACTAATGGCAAAGGGAAAAATCTTTCAACTACTTCTCAGCACAAGTGATAGTTTGCTTTATAACTCCTTCAAGTATGTAACAAGAATGGCTGGATTGAGCCTATAGTGCTGCTATTGAAGATGGGAGAGAAAAGAAAACACATGCCAATTTTGTGACCAAGGAAGTTTGGGTAAGAATAAGCATTTGACCATGTACCCACTTTTCCTTCCACTTGCAGTATTACCAGCCTTTTAAACACTAGCATTTCCTTTGCTTTAGTGCACTAATAAACAAATATGCTGGGGATCTTAGCGATAACCTCAGAGAACTGATGAAATAATAATATGTGCCTGATTGCGTGTTCTGTGTCATCATTGCTCTAGTTTAGCTAGAACCGTAAGAATTACCTTGTAGGCTCACAAGGTTGCAAACATATTGGGAGGGGAGGGTCAGGGAAAGGGGCTCTATTGCTTAGCATGAGGCACTTTGCATATTTGAAATCAGAGGAAAACTGATCTTATGACACTGTACAAAAAAAAGAAAGTAGGTGGAGAAATTGCAGTATATTAGCTGGAAATTGTAGAAATTGTTCACCAGCTCTGTAGCAATTTGTGTCACTTGGATTTTACTTCTTTTGTCATTGTCTTTTGCCTTCATTGTCTTTCCCTGATGCCCAATAAATCTTTAAACCCTGAAGCTAAAAGAGACTACATTGTGCAGCAGCTTTAATATTGATTTTGCTAGAGAGTATAAAATCCAGAGAGATAATAAGGAAATCCATCTAAGGTACCCTGCCAAGGGCTCCCATTAGTTGCTTTACCAGGCATCAATTCAATAAACCCTCGAGAGCAGCACATGAATAAACATCAGAGCCTCTCTGGCATGTTAATGCATCAATCGCCTAATTGTCAATGCTGCCAACAGACTCCAAGAAAAGTAGTATCTTGGGATTTCAGCCCCTTCCAACTTCAAGTCCAAAGCAGATTTGACTTAGAAGAAGACATCCTGGCAGACGGCATCAGTGTGCCCTTGGTCAGTCCCAGGACTTTGCCCATGCAGGACTGGAAACTGTCTTTGGGGAAAAATAATAATAGTAATAAAAAAAAACCTCTCAAATTTCAAGCAATGAAAATAAGTTGATTAGGAGCTGATAGACAGGAAGGACTTTCTTTCAGCCCTCTTGTGAGGCAGCCACCCTGGGTTTAATTCCTGGGACTAACATGTGCTTTCCATGTGGCCAAGGCTTTATTTATTTATTTATTTATTTTTTTAACCACATGGGGACCCTTATTCATGGCACAGCTTCTTTCTTTTGTTATCTAATGAGATTTTAAATTCCTTGTAGGGAAGTTATTCTCTCATAAAGTGTTCATACCATGCCTGGCACAATAGCGGCCCAATATCAGTTGGGACCTCTACTTGCTACTGTAATAATAATTTTATAAGCAGCCTTTCATTAAGATCCATTGCTACTTATGAAACAGCTGCAGTGTCAGTTAATAAGACTGTTCATTGTTTTAACTCCCTCTACTTCAAAGAAGAGGCTTTGATCTTCCCCATAGAAGTGGATATGAGTAAAAGAGGCTGAAGCATGAACAAAAATATATATTTTTTTCCTATCAAATGGGAAATCTCAGAAATAGAACATTTGAGACTTCCAGGAGCTAAAGAGAACATGAAACTATGCTACCCTTTCATCACTGGATAGACACAGTAGAATTCATCCATCTTCATTTCTTTCTTTTCCATTGTCTTTCAATGGGCACATCACTCACTCAATTAGCACAGATCAAAGCTAGGAAGAGAGACACAGGTGTGTCCCATTGTGACTATTCAACCCGAATAGAGGAAACATTTATTATCATGACAAATAATGCAGAACCTGACAGCATTTTCCTGAAATTAGGTTTTTTTTTCCCCTATCATCAAGAAGCGTGTTAGTACATTAGTCCTTATTGCTAATGGCAGTCATAGGCAAAAAGAGGAGGCAAGCCCAAAGGACTTAAGGTCTATGAGCTAAGGAAGGTGTTTTCCATCTTTTATCCTAGGGAAGCCTGAAGACTCCCCAAGACCCAACCTGAAGATGTTGCCAGAAAATGTGTGTCTTGCCTGCTGCACGTTTACATTGCTGGGAATGTCTGACCATCACCTGCAAAAAGACTTCTGCAAATACACAGACAGAGAAGATACTCCCCCTGCCACAACACACGAAATACCACTGTTTGTACTCTCTTGTCTAGCTAGCTGCCTCCAGGAATGGTTATAATAAGTATTTAGCAGAGCAACTTTAGGCAAAGCAAGCAGGTGCCTAGGGTGGCAGACTGTCAGGGGGCCCAAAACAGGGCAGGACAAGGAGCCTATATTCCAAAAGGATGGCAAAGATGATGACTGCTTCCTCCACCCTCAAATCCCCTATAGCATTACATTGTACACATTTTGGAGAAATTGCTTTGCATCAGTTCCTCATTGGTGATATATATCTTTCTTAATAAAAAGAGCTTCCATCCTCTCATAGCCAGCTGAAGCAAGGTGTAAAAACAAGGTCAGCAGTTAGGCGTTATCTTGATGATGATTTAGTTTTCTTAAAGATTGCCTGGAATTTACTTTCTAAATACCAGAGGGAAATTATAGGGAGAAGATATAGTTAGACATGCTTAAAAAAGAAAAAAAAATCTAATTACTTGAAAATTGGAATATGCTGTATTAGTGACATTTCTGCAAATCCATAATGGCCTGCATAGGAGCTCCAGTGTCCTTGATTTCTGATCTACAAGGAACAGCAATTACTTACGGCATCAGGAGAGCTGCTCCAAATCTAACATTTCTCTAATCAAAGTAGAGCACAGTAATTTCTGTTGGTGCATTTGTCCCATTTAACAAAGAGAAATGGAAGCAAGGACACTTGAGTCACCCCCAAACCGGGCCAAGCTCACGTTCCTATTCCAGAAAAGCCTTTCCTTCCTCGGGCCTGTGTTTCCATCTGAACTAGCCCATTACAGATGAGGGTGCAGCAGCTTAATGCCATCAGCTGATGCCAGGCCAGCTCATCACATTCTGTCCTTGGAGATGTGCACAATGAAGTGGCTGGTGTCCCTGCAGGTGGCAACCATGTTGACTGCCAGAAGACAATAAGTGAGTGAGGTGGCTTATGAGGAACACTGGGGAAAAGGTGTAGATGTGAACCACCAGCAGCATCAAAGCACCACCAGACCAGGTATAATGAAAATGAGAGGTCTGAATCTAGAGAAAGAAGGGATAATGCAGAAGTTAATGTGTGCAACTCATCTAGATCATGTGCCCTTATCATAGATGAGGGCAGAGCAGTTGATGTCATCTATCTGGACTTCAGCAAGGCTTTTGACATCGTCCCTCATAGCATCCTCCTGGGCAAGCTCCAAAGGTGTGGGATAGATGAGTGGACGAGGAGGTGGATTAGGAATTGGCTCAGTGGCAGGGTGCAGAGAGTGGTTGTCCATGGTGCGGAGTCCAGTTGGAGACCTGTAGTGAGCGGTGTCCCGCAGGGGTCGGTCCTCGGTCCGATCCTGTTCAACTTATTCATTAACGACCTGGATGAAGGGCT